CCCCGAAGACACCCAGACGCACCGGAGACGTAGATTTGAGTCGGGCCTGTCCCTCTACAGAAGGAGTCTTCAAAAACTGTGGATAGATCGTATAGTGAAGTTTTTTTTTTTTTTTTTTTTTTTTTTTTTTTTTTTTTTTTTTTTTTTTTTTTTTTTTTTTTTTTTTTTTTTGTTTTTTTTGTTTTTTGTTTTTTTTTTCACCCATATATTCATATTTTGTTTATTTTTGATTTTTCCTGCGAGAGCCGCCTGTAGGAGGACATGCCAGACCCGGCCAAAAACACCCAGACGCCCCAGAAACGTAGATTTTTGTTTCGAGGGCCTGGTTCGCACTTTGTTCACTCTGACTTCTCCGTCGCTGTTGTCGCCCGTTTGTTGTTCTCTCTGCCAGTGCTTATATGACATTCGATCCGCCGCCCCTGCGCTCGATTTAGAAGGGCTCGTTCCTTGTGGCTTTGGCCGTGGAGTCACCATGGCTACTGCAGATTCGACGGTTTGTTCTTCCGTAACGTGAGGGATCCACGAACCCGGTAAGGAATTGGAGCCACACTTTCTTCTAACGCGCGTGCGACACTTTCCTGCGCCTGCCTGCACGTCCTGCTTAGCATCACCCTCCTGCACGTCCTGCAGCCGCTACCGCCTGCACGTCCTGCTTATAATCATCATCATCATCCTGCTCCTCTTGCTCCTCCTGCTCCTCCTGCTCCTGGCTATGGCTGTGGTGGGGCTTATGCGGGACACTCCCCGTCAACGAGGCCAGGGGAGCTATGGATCGACCGGATACAGAGAGCGACCAGAGAGGCCCGGGCAGCTGCGATGCAGATCGGCGTGCAAGAGTGGCCGCGAGCGCATCTTCAGCGCAGGAGGCGGTGGGCAGGCCTCATCGCCCGCATGCCTTACCACGAATAAGTCGGGACAGTGACAGAGCGGCGGGATTCATCGTGGCAGGCGTCTGCCGCGAACGATGTTCAAAGGCCGCTGCGGCCACCTCGCCAGCCATGGATGAACTTCGAAGGGTCGTTGAAGACATATGGTTTTGAATATGGCATTGGCGAGCGGCATGCTCTTGCGCAGGACCGGCCCCTGTGGCACAGCTGCCACGGCGACTTCGTGACTTGGGCCACGAGGCCGTGATGAATGCCACCTCGGCGCCGCCCCCCGCGGGCCGTGGACGGCACTTCCTTTTTTTCTCTCTTGCTCCTAATGCTCCTGCTTTGTTAAAAGCTGTTGCCAGTTCTTGAGGTTCGGATCGGATGTGGTAGGGATGTCTCCGGCGAAACGCCTGGCCCGCCCTTCCGGCTGGCCTCGGGGTGCGACAGGGAGGAGTTGTCTATACAGTGCCGTTTTTGATACATGCTCCGCGTGTGGATGATGTATTAAAATGCAAGGATTTAGTGTTACAAGCAACGATGGGTTCATGCATGCATTTATTCATAAAGTATTTTTTCAATAAAAACCCTATATAAAAAACTGCCCTGTAAGGAACAGGAATGGAGGAGGATCAGAAGGGGCAGGAGGGCAAGGAGGCGCCGAGCCTCGCGAGAGGTGGCTCTTCTTCTCCTGGTGGAGCCTCGAGTCCCAGGTGGCGAAGGAGGCCCCGCGGGCCGCCCCGCCGGCCGCCCCGCGGTTCGGTGCGCCCGGGGGCGCCCCCCCGCGCGCCCGCTGGCTGCGGCGGCGCCGCCGCTGCCGCCGCTGCGTGATCGACTCGAGGCGCTCGGGGCCCGAGGCTCGAGGCTCGAGGCTCGAAGGCCGAGGCTCGGGGCTCGAGGGCCGAGGCTCGAGGCTCGAGGTGCGAGGCTCGAGGCTCGGGGCTCGAGGCTCGAGCTTCGGGGTTCGAGCGTCTCGGGGGCCGAGGATTGAGGATGGGGGTTTTTGGTGTCCGAGGATCGCGGATCGAGGTTCGAGCCATTCAGATGTCCGACGAACCTGTCGAGGCTCGAGGTTCGAGGTTCGCTGGGGCGCCCCCGTGGCCACGGCGGGGTCGGCCCCGAAGCCCTCGGCACCACGCATCCCAGGAGAGGTCCAGGGGCGATGTTTGACCTCTGATATCCAGCGATGTCTTGGCATCGCTCGGACGTGTGCATGTTTCCTTCGGCGAGGACCATCGAGGAGCATCCTTGACAATTTGGCGAAAAACTACGCACGAAACCGAAAAAAACACAGGGAATGGACGTCCGAGCGATGGCCAGATGTGTTTTGCGGCAATCCGGGCGTTGTGCCTCGATCTCGGCCCTGGGGCCCGTGCCGGGCTTGGGGCCAGCAAGCGCGGACCCGGGGCGAACGACTGGCCCCGGGGGCGGGGTCGGGACCTCTGGGGCGGCGGGTTCAAAATACCATATCGGCGGATGGCAGGGTTCGAACATCGAACGTCGAAACTGGAGGATCGAGGCTCGAGGCTCGAAATTCGAGGTTCCAGGCCCAATGCTCCAGGATCGAGAAGCGAGGCTCGAGGACCAAGGTTCGATGATCGGTGATCGAGACTCTCGGCTCGAGCCCCGAGGTTCGAGGATCGAGGTTCGACACTCGAGGCCCAAGGCAGGCTTGAAGATCGAGGCTTCAGGTTTGATGTTCGAGGAAATGATTGATGTTGGAGGCTCGAGACTCGAGGCTCGAGGCTCGAGGCTCGAAACTCGGGGCTCGAGGCTCGAGGCCCGAGGTTCGAGGTCGGCTGGGTGCTCCTGGAGGTTTCCAGGCGTTTCCGGAGCCGTGGCCGCGGCCGTGGGCGTTCTGCTGGACCATGGGGCAGGAGAGGCACCGAGAGGCGCGGAGTTCGGATCCCTCGAGCAATTGTCGGACCCCGGGCGGGGTCCGAGGCTCCGTGCCCGAGCGCCGGGGGTCCCAGGACGTGTGGGGGCTCTGGCAGGTCTTCTGGTGAGGGGCTGGGGCGCCTCCTGGCTCCTCGGGGGCCTCTTCGGGGCCCCCTCTGGCGGCCAAGGCAGGGTCCCCCTTGAACCTCCAGCGAGAGCGCACCCCCTGGGGAAATCAAATGGCCGCCGCCGCAACCGATCGCCGCCGACGCCCCCGACGCCGGCGCCGCCACCGCCGCCGCTGCCGCCGCCGCCGCCATCGTCGTCGTCGTCGTCGTCGTCGTCGTCGTCGTCGTCGACGTCGCCGTCGTCGTCGTCGTCGTCGTCGTCGTCGTCGTCGTCGTCGTCGTCGCCGTTGCCATCACCGTCGCCGTCGCCGCCGCCGCCGTCGCCGCTGCCGTCGCCGTCGCCGCCGCCGTCGCCCTCGCCGTCGCCGTCGTCGTCGCCGTCGCCGTCGCCCTCGCCGTCACCGTCGCCGTCGTCGTCGCCCTCGCTGTCGCCGCCGCCGCCGCCGCCGTCGTCGTCGTCGTCGTCGTCGTCGTCGTCGTCGTCGTCGTCGTCTTGTCGTCGTCGTCGTCATCGTCCTCGTCCTCGCCGTCGTGGTCGTCCGTCGTCGTCGTCGTCTCTCGGAAGTTCTCGGGCTTCTCGGGGGGGCCTTATCGTTTGCATTCCAAGGTGCTCTTATGCTTCCGCACCTATTCGGAGGTTGCCGGGGATTTTCGCAAGCGGCGTTCGCTGGTTTCTGGAGGCTTTTGGAGGCTGACCACTCTGCAGCTCTCCGTCTGGCACTGCCCGTGAGGCCTCTGCGGAGGGCGCCGGGCGCTCTTCTCGAGCGCTGGTCTCCGGGTGCTGCGACAGGTTCGTGCCGTGCCGACGCGGCGACGACTCCAGCCCGGGCGTTCCAGAGTGAACGCCGGCCGTGGGGTTCGTGTCGTGCCGACGCGGCGACGACTCCAGCCCGGGCGTCCAAGAATGAACGCCCGCAGTGGCCCACCATGGACAAACATCAAAGGACGTGGCCCGCCGTGACCCACCATGGGCGAACGCTCACGGCCGAGCGAGATCCACGCGGTGCCGGAGAAACCAGCGCGCAGGCCGTCGCGGCGCGAGCTCGCCGTGGACACCTCAAGTAGCATGCCACCGTCGTTGGCAACAAAAGCCGTCTCAAGTAGCATGCCCGCGTCGTCATCAGCAAAGACCACGGCGCAAGGTGTGTCGCAGGTTTCGGCCCCCAGGGGCCTCGCCAGGCCTCAGGGCCGTCACAAACACGGCACGGGGTGAAGCACCGGTTCCGGGGAATGGTGTCGAGGCTTCCAGGAACCCCGTATGGAAACGATCAAGGCATCGCGTCGCCTGTGCGGCGGCATGTGTCGTAGCCAGCTTAGCTCCTCGTTTGCCTGACGGAGCTTCTTGGCGGAACATTCTGTCTACGCAGAGACGCTGCCAAGTTGATGCGATGTATGGTCCGAATGTGGAGCTTAACCGCAGCGCTTTTTTCCAGCGCAGTGTCCTACGCACCTCCGGCTGTATGGCTTCTTGCCTGCCTGCCTGCGCTGAAGACCGTGGCGCCTGATCCTCTGCAGCCACCACGGCGCCGCCCCAAAGCGGGGCCACCCGAGGCAAGTCCCACGAGCGGGTCCAGATCCTTCCGCGCACGCCCGCCAGAGTGCGGCGGGTGCCTGGTACTCGGGCGGGTGGTAACGGGGGGTGACCCACATGGGGGGGTGATGAAAAAAGGCCCTGAAGGGGCCCTTTCGGGCCCCTGTTGGGCACTAACTGGCTCCCAACGGGGCCCTCTCGGGCCCTGTTCTTCACCCCGGTTTGGGCCCCCCCCCCATTTGCCACGCGCCCGACACGAGTCCGCGAGTTTTGTGCGAGGGCCCACCTCGATTGTGTCGGGGCGGGTGCGGGTCATGCGTCCCTGCCCGAAGCGTCGGCATACCGTCCCAACAGAGTTCGAACAACTTTCCGAGATCCGCGCGGATTTCTTGGATCTGCGCTGGAGCTCCATGGCGGCGCCTCTGGCGCCGACCCTGGTGCGTTCCGCGCGCCAGGGAGGGGCGCGCCAGGGAGGGGGCTCCAGCGCCGATCCGAGAAATAAGTGCAGACATTTGAATTTTTATGCTTATGCTGTGTTCTGCTCCTTCGAAAGCCTACCCCAGCTCAGCCACTCCGTGGACCGACGACCTTGGGATCCGACCTGGCGAACAAAATCTCAACACCGTGAAACGTCACGGCTGGAGCCCTGGACCCCACCTTTGCGCGCCGTCTCTCGAGCTGGCTCGATCTGAGAGGGCCCTGGGACCCCAGACCGGGCGACAACGCCCGGCTCGAAACGCAACCGACGCCAGGATCGCAGGGGGGTTCGGGTCATAGCTCGGGCCTCCGGCGGCCGCTCGGGACGGTCCGCGCACCTGGAGGAACGCCCTCGGCGAGGCGCAGCTGCTGGACGGCGGCCCCGAGACCAGCAGACCGACGAGATGCGACGAGCACGCCCGCAGACCTCGAACCTCGACCCTCGCCAGCGGTGGCCGTCCTTCTCCCGGTGGCGCCTCGAGCCGCCCCCGTGGGCCGCCATGGCTCCCCCTCTGGGCCCGGCCTCGGGGGCGAACAAGCGCGCCGCCCGCGCGGCGAAGAGCAGCGGGTCGCACGCACGACGGCGCAGACCTGACCTGCGCGGCGCACCAGGTGAATAGGAGGCCACATGCGAGCCCTACCCCTACCCCCCACGATTTCTGAGGGGGAGGGTGGGGTTCACTTCGTTCGGAAGCTCACGAGCGAAGTGCACCCCACGCTCCCCCTCAGAAATCGAGGGGGGTAGGGGTAGGGCTCGCATGTGGCCCCCTAGTAAAGAGCAGGCGGCACCGTCGCGGCCGTGCCCGCGCGCGCCGCCGCCTCGGCCGCTCGCCAGAAGCCCGCCGGAGCGCGGGGCCCCTCCGAGGCCCTCGCGCCAGCGGCCGCGCCGCAGGCCGCCGCGCCCGCTCTCGCGCGGGCCCCGCCCGCTCGCGGAGCCTGCGCGTGTCCGAGCCCGGCCGCGCCCTCGAGGCCGCCCCCTTTGGCCTGCGCGGCCTGCGCCTGGGCCGCGCGGCCCGCGGCGCGGCCGGCGGGGCTGCCGCAGCGCCCGCGCGCCGCGGAGCCGCTCTCGCCGACCCCGCCCGCGCGCGGAGACTGGCGCGGGCTGGCGCGCGCTCGCGCGCGCGTCCGCCCGCGGCTGGGCTTCTGGCCGGGGTTCGGCGCCCCGGACAGGCTCCTCCTCCTCCTCCTCTTCCTCCTTCTTTTCCTCCCCCTCCTCCTCCTGCTCTTCCCCCTCCTCCTCCTCCTCCTCCTCCTCCTGGACAACCTCCTCCTGTTCCTCTTCCTGCTCCTCCTCCTCCTCCTTTTCCTCCTCTCTTCATCCTCCTGACCATCATCACCATCAGTCGGCGGCGAGCCCAGGGGGGAAGCGAGAGGGGGCAGGCCTTCTCAGAAGGCGGTGGGGCTTCTCAGAAGCCCTCGGGCCCATGGGGAATCTTCGCAGGCCTCCTCCAACGTCACCTTCTGAGAAAGCCATGTCCCCTCTCACTTCCCCGGCTTCCCCCCTGGGCTCGCCGCTGGATGTTGAGCGCTCAGGCGTGAGGGCGACTCTTTTCTGAAGGAAGCCCGCATCGTCAGTCCCTGATATGTAGCCGAGCGGAGTAGCGATACGCACTAGTTCCTGCTCGCAGGCGTCCAGCAGCGTGGCCCAGACTGCAGCGCAGCAGCCCAGGCTGTGGCAAAGGCCATGCTTCGCGTTCGCACCTCCTGATCGGGCACGACTCTTCCGATGGCGAGGGAAGACGTCCCGTGAGCGTCATCACCCAGTATATCACAGTTGAGTTTCCTCTCTCGCTCTGCTCTGCTTCGGTATGTTCTAATTTCTCTCTCTCTCTCTGTCTCTGTCTCCACCTCTCTCTCTCTCCCCACCTCTCTCTCATCTCTCTCTCTCTCTCTTTCTCTCTCTCTCTCTCGCTGTCTCCTTCTTCTCGCTCTCTATTACCACCTTTTTTCCTCTCGCTCTCTCTCTCTCTCTCTCTCCATCTCACTCTCTCTCTCTCTCTTTATCCACCTCGCTCTTTCTCCTCCATTGTGTAGAGTATGTCACCTCGTATCTCTCTCTCTCTCTGTCCTCTTGTATATCCTCTACGTTCTCTAGTCTTTCTTCGATAGTCTGTCGTCTGCAGTCTATCGTATCTCCCTTATCCCTTGTCTCCTCCCTTAGTACCCCTTCTCTTGCATTGCATTCATCTCTATACATGTATAATGTTTACTCGCTCTTGTATCTCTAATCGCTTCCCGTTTTCCTCTCCTCGTGTATATATATATATATATATATATATATATATAGATGTGTCGTCTCCCTTCTCACTTCCCTCTTTTGATTTCTCATTTGTTTCTCCCTCTCTCTCTGTCAGCTGCTGTCATGTTCGGACCAGGGATGCAGGACAGCGTGCAAGGTGTCACGAATCGCACCATGTATCGATCAAGGCCATGGCAGGGTGTTGGACATGTGACGCGTGGAGCATCCTACATGAAAGAGGAGCGGCTGGCGCGCGCAGCATGGATCAGGCAGCAAATGTTTGAGCTTCTGTGTTGCACCCAGCGTGTCATATGTTGTCCCGGCTATATTGTCTCAATCAATTGTCAGGAATATGCTTCCCTTGGAGCTGTTTACTCAGTGCGCCGCCGCAACGGTTCCGATGACGGAGGAGTCGCTGGGCCTTGCTAGAAGTAATGTTCGCCAGCTCAGTGGGCTGCTGAGTGTTGCAGCATGCAATATGTTGATTGTGTATTCGGCCAGTGCCTGCTCGGCAGTTCAATTCGTAATGCTTCGCGTATCCCCACCAGCCCATTCAGAAACGATGCCCATGGAAGCTGCCCTTATCGTGGGAGCATGGCATGAACTTGGATACCCTGGGGAGCCTCAGTGAAGTAGAGGCCTCTTGGATGCCCCTCGGAGTCGCTTGGGTTTCTCTCCTGGGGTGTTCTCGGTGGCCTCTCAGGGTGTCTTGGGGGCCTGTTGGAACCTACTGGGGGACTGCTGGAACCTCTTGGGGCTCTCTTGGGGGCCTCTTGGGGGCCTTGTGGGGCCTTATTTCTGGTCTCATTGGGAGCCTTGGGGGCCCTCTTGGGACCACCTTAGAACACATCGATCACCGAAACGAGGATCCTTACTTGGCATCGCCCCTCGAGAGCCCCTAACAATGCCTCTCGGGGCTTTCTTGGTGCGCTCATGGGGTGCCTTTGGTGGGCGCTTTTGCGGCCCTCTTGCCGCCCTCTTGGGCCCCTCTTGGGGCTCTCTTGGGCCATCTTCGAGTCAGCTTGAGGCCTCGGAGGGCCATTGGAAACGGAAACGGCGAGAAGGCAACACACCATTGATTTCCACCAGGGTTCCGAAGGATTCTGTCCTCTCGGAGGCGTCCCGGGGCAGCTCCGTGGCCACTTGGATCTGTTTCGAAGCAGTCTCGGGACCTCTTGGAGTATGTTGGAATCCATCCTGAGCGATCTCGCGCTATCCTGAGCCATTCTGGAGGCCGTCTTGGGCTATCTGGGGCCCTCTCGAGGCCATCTCGGGCCATCCTGTACGTTCTGACTGCTCGCGCCACCCTCTTCCGACCCAGGGAGAGGGGTAATGGGGGAGAGGTGAACCTCGTCCCGAAGGAGAAGAAGGAGGTTGGAAGAAGGAAAAGCCCTACACCACCCACAGTGAATCCGAATAGGCAGGACGAACGACTTTTCAAGGCTACCCTTGCGTCCTTGCCCCTTCGGCCCCTCCTTGGTGACTTTCGCTGGCCAGCCTCGTTTGAAAAACGTGAACATGGCCCTCGAAGGCCCTTGCATCTTCACCGCGCATCCTTACTCGACGGGTTGATCCCACAGTCGGAGGAGGAGGAGGAGGAGGAGGAGGAGGAGGGAGGAGGAGGAGGGAGGAGGAGAAGGAGGAGGAGGAGGGTCGAGAATCGAGGAAAAGGTATCCATACCGATACCCATCCCTCGTCTTCCCTTCTCTGGGTCTCCACGGAGTCTCGCCGTGGCCATGAGAGTCCCTTCGTTCCTTGCTTTCGGACCGGGGTATAGGATCCAGGTCGATTCGGGGAGGGTACACCCCGATCTTGTTCGTGTCTGTCCAGGGTCCAGGTCGGAGCTACGATTTCAACGAGACGACGTGGATGAGTGGGGACTGTCGGGAAGTCAGCTCCTGAAGTACGCACTGTCCTGAGTAGACCCCCGACGCGCGCAGCTTCTCGTGCGAGGCCATGGCCTCACCCGCCTCGCCCTTAAAGGGGCCCGGGCGCATGCCCGCACAGGCGATCCGTCCGGCCGTCCGTCCAGGTCGGAGCACCTGATTTTGTTGCCGAGTCTCGCCGTGGCCATGAGAGTCCCTCCGTTCCTGGCGGTCGGACCAGGGCATAGGATCCAGGTCGATTCGGGGAGGGCACCCCGATGTCGTTCGTGCTCGTCGAGTGCTCTCGTGCTTCCTGGGGTGGGGGGGGGGACCCTGGAATGTTCCGCAGTTTGGGCGGCGGAGGCTCTCGTGTTCTCGAAGGATGTTCTTCTGCCCTGGGTTCCGGCCGCAGCCGGCGTTCTCCGCAGCGGCAGGATGGCTGTGCGCCCCGAAGGGCCAGTGGTGTTCGTGGGCTCCGCTCCTGCCTCCGTCCTCCGCTCCTCGCTCTGGGCGGGCAGCGCCCGCGGCGCCCGGTCCTGGGCTGCGTGCGAGTACCGTGTCGCCTCAGGCTGTGGGCGGAGTTGGTTCCTATTCGATGCTCTGGCCTCTGGCCAATCGTGCTTGTGTGTGTGCTTCTCTGTGTGCGAGTGTGTGTGTGTGTGGGTGGGTGGGGGGCAGGCCTGTCGTTCCTCGCTTCTCGCTTCTCTCTCCGCCTTGCTCGGCCCCCCTTGCCCTTGTCTGGCTGGCCCCTCTTGCCGTCCCGTGTGGCCAGCTTCGGCCACTGCTGCATTGTGCGAGCTCCGAGTGCTGTTCTCTTATCTTCGGAACGGGTAGTGGCCTTGCCCAAGTGTGGTTTGCAGGTATGTGTGTACGTGCGTGTGCGCGACACTGCACATGGTGGGTGCACTTCGTCATGCTGCGCTCAATGATGAGTCGGGCTCGCGTGATGTGAATCACTCGCGCGGCGTCTGCAGCTCCCTTACCTTCTCTCAGGTTTTCGTTGCCAACCAGGCGCTGCAGCTGATGCGCTATCCAACATGCTGCAAATCACCAGGAATGCATTTCAGCGCTACCGCGGTCGGACCATTGCGCCGCACTGACAGGTATTCACGGTGCTCTTGTACAACTTGTTCAAGGCTGGCGGGCGCGGCGACATGAGCGCCCTTGGCTGCTGCTGTACGCCTGCGCAGACCTGTGGCATGCAGCAGGTGCGTGCATGCATCGTTCGTGTGCGCAGCTGCTTCGTTGGCGTTCGCTTCAGTGGGTGATGCGTGTGCGTGTTCTCTTACCGCCGGGCACAGGTCCCGTCGACCGATGCAGCTGTGGATGTCCCTGCACACCTCGCACGCCGCCTGCGCGATCCGACTTGCCCCTCCCACGGCTAGAGATGTGCAGGGCTGGACCCAAACGGTGCTTTTGTTGATTTCGTGGGCCGTTTTCGTTTCGACTTCGTTTTGCGGTAAAGGCGGATTCGAGATCAAAGCGAACCAACACGAAACCAAGACGAACACAAACAACACCGTTTAGGTTCAGCCCTGGAGATGTGCGTTCCGCAGTGCTGCAGCGCTGGGAACTTCCTCGCCACAAAGTGCGCTCCTCTCTGCAGTTTTTTTCCGTTGTGCCTCCCGTCTCCGTCGCTCCTCGCCTGCGTCCTTACATGTGCTTCGAAGCCCTCGGCCACTGGCTTGCAAGTGCAATGCATTAGGCTGTGGTGACTGCACCTCGTGCCCTTTCCTCCTCTCTCTTCACAGCAGGGCTGGACCTAAACGGTGTTCTGGCGATCTCGTGGGCCGTTTCCGTTTCGACCTCGTTTTGCGGTAGAGGTGGATTGGAAACAGCATGAGGGAGGACGAAAACAAAACGACAACGAAAAACACCGTTCAGGTTCAGCCCTGCTTCACAGCCGAATCAGACAGTGGGATCCCGTGTGCCTCCCCCTGGGCCCCCGAGCGTTACCATTCAGGAGGGGCAAAAACACAGACACAATTCATCGTCGATCCCCAAGAAAATATGGAAAAACATAGGAAGTGGGGGGGGGAAGACGAAAATCAGTAAATATGAGAAAATATGGGGAATTCTTTTATTTGTGTGTATTTATTTGTGTGTCCCAGGGCCCCTTCACTCATGGCGGCCAAGCTCAGCAAGCATGGCCTTGACGTCGGGGCTCCTCTGTCGGAGGCCGAAGCGAACGGCAGCAGCATGACCTTGCGCAGGTCCGCGCGGCTTCCTTTGGGCCTGCGCTGGGCCCACCCCTCCCTGCAGCGGCGGCGCCGGAGGCGCCGCCCTGGGTGCGGGCAATAGTTACATCCACATCCAGTGCGTCTTGGAGCTTTGGGCTCTCTTCCCCAGAAACCGGAGGCGCACTGGATATCGATAAAAACCTTGCCCCAGAAGGTTCGATTTTTATCCATATCCAGTGTGCCTCGGCCTTGCGGCACCCCTTCCCAACAAGTGCACGACGCTCTGGATATGGATATAAGTATTGCCCGCACTGGGGTTCCAGCGCAGAGCCCCAAAATCCCTGCGGACCTCTCCGAGGCGTACGTGGATGCCGACTTGGAGCCGCGAGCGCGGGCCTAATCCTCCCCTCTCGCCGCCGCGCGTGCCCCCCCCGCGGGCTCCCCCCTCCCTGCATCTCGCCCGCGAGACTGTGGCGCACCTGCTCACCGAGGCAGCCCTTGCACCGCGCGTGTGCTCTCTCTCTCTCTCTCGCTCTTTCCATCGCTGCCCGGCTGCCTGCCCATGGCGGCGTGACGCTGTTGTTGAGTCGGGCATGTCCCTCTACAGGAGGGATATTCAAAAATCGTCAAAACACAGCCTGAGGACGATTTTCCAAGATTTTTTGTCGTTGTGACTGTTCTGGTATCTTTCTGAGTATGTTTAATCTTTCGCCGAAAATTCGCCCGTACGGGGACATGCCCGACCTGACGATACTTTGTTGCCTGCGCTTCTGTTGCCTGCTGAGATTGTCATGGAGGAAGCGGGGCCCGGGGGCTGTGGGTCCTGCGGCTCTTCGCCGCTGTCAGGCTCCCTCGGGGCTCTCCACGGGCCCCAGGACGGCCATCAGGACACGACGCGGGCGAAAAGCTTGGTTTTCTGGGGAGGGCACCCATGGGGCCCAGGACCCCGTGCCCTCAGGACCGTTGTCCTCCATTCAGGAGGGAAAAAACACACAGACACAATTAATCCTCGATTCCCCAGAAAAATATGGGAAAATATGGGAAGTGGGGGGGGGGGAAGACGAATGCCTAAAAATATCTAGGAAAATATGGGGAATCATTTTGTGTATTTATTTGTGTGTCCTGGGGCCCCTTTATCAATGCGGGCGAGAACCCGCCCCGGGCCGCAATCCCGATCGCACCGTTGGCACCCGCAGCTGGCCTCTGGGACACCCTATCCCCAGCAGCAGCGGTACAGACGGCCATAGCAGGATTTCGCCTGGGCGAGGCCACGCGGCCGATTCCAGAACCCCCGCGCCAACTGAGAGCCGCCATCTCTCGGGGGGTGATTTTTTCCCCGCGGGCTTCCGCCGGCCTTCTGCCCGCCTCCGCCGGCGGAGCTGCCCTCGTTACGTTTTTGTCCGCCAGGTTGCGCCGGCCTTCCGCCGCCTTCCGCTGCGGCAGAGGGATTCGCCTCTCGATCCCTCGAAGGCGAGGCCCTTGTCAGGAGGAGCGCGCCGCACAAGGGGGGGGGGCAGAACTGCCCGCCCGATCGCAGCCCGAGGGCAGGAAACACGTTCATTCCACGGCCTCGCGGGTCAGGCCCCTGAGCCGCGACCCGTGGCTACGGGGTGCCTGCTCTCAGGAGGGGGAAATAGACACAGATACAACGAAACGTCGACCCTCCGGGATTAAGATCGAAACTATGGGACGTGGATGGGGAAGACGAACATGCCGGAAGCATGGAACAAATACGGGGGATCCTGGGGCTTGTCTCTATTCATCTGTGTGCCTCTGGGCCCCTTTGTGTTCGCGGATGCCCCGCGTGGAGCGTATCTTCCAGGCCGCGAGCCCGCGGCATCGCGCCCCAGAGTCGAGGCCGCGGGGTCATAACTCGGGCCTCCTGCGGCCGCTCGGGACGCACCCCGAGGCGCCCCGGCACGCTCCCGGCGACGCGCGCCGCCGCTGGAACGCACCCCGAGGGCGGGGCACACACTGCCAAGACACGACGGCGGCGCCCGAAAACCTGGAGCCTCGAAGTGCGCACCTCGAGATTCCCCCCCCTCGCTCGGGCCGGACGAAAGGGGGGGATTGGGAAAGGGGGGGTTACGAAATTGGCTGCATGCAGCTGGCTTCGGCCCCTCCGAGGGGCCCATTCCTCGATACACAGTCGCCTCTGGCGCCGGGAGGCGCCGGGGAAGACAGCTACGCGAGCTGATTCTCACCCCCCCCCTTTGCTATCCCCCCCTCGCTCGCCCGCCGAGCCAAACCCCCGAGGAGGGTGGGGAGGAGGAGGAGGAGGAGGAGGAGGAGGAGGAGGAGGAGGAGGGAGGGGAGGAGGAGGAGGAGGAGGAGGAGGAGGAGGAGGAGGAGGGAGGAGGAGGAGGGTGGAGGAGGAGGAGGAGGAGGAGGAGGAGGAGGAGGAGGAGGAGGAGGAGAGGAGGAGGAGGAGGAGGAGGAGGAGGAGGAGGAGGGGAGGAGGAGGAGGAGGAGGAGGAGGAGGAGGAGGAGGAGGATGAGGATGAGGATGATGAGATGATGATGATGCTGATGATGATGTGGAGGAGGAGGAGGAGGAGGAGGAGGAGGAGGAGGAGGAGGAGGAGGAGGAGGAGGAGGAGGAGGCGGAGGAGGAGGAGGAGGAGGAGGAGGAGGAGGAGGAGAAGTATCGCGGAGGCTCCGCGGTACTCTCTGCTCGAATGAAATGGGTACGGAAAGAACGGGCACAATGCCCAACAGCAGTTCCTGTTCACTGTGAACAGGACTCGCTGTCCGCGCCGCCGCGGCCTGTGTCCGTTTGAGGCAGGAGGCCGCCTGCCCAACAGCGGCCGCTGTTGGTTCGGACACCATTCGTTGTTGGGCATTGTGCCCATTCTTTCCGTGCCGATTTCGGGCGTCCAAATACTCTGGGCCTCCGGGATGGGGTCGGAGCAGGTTGAAGTCGGGCTTGTCCCTCTACAGGGGGGATATTCCAAAATAGTCAAGAAATGGCTAGGGGACGATTTGTTGATTATTTTTTGTCCATTTGGGGTTTTTTGTTGGAGGATGTTTTGTTTTTCGCCCAAAATCCCCCTGTAGGGGACAGGCCCGACCTAAGAGTAGATGGGGTCGGAGGATCGCGCCGCGTCGCCGATGCATCGACGATGCGGCTCGATGCCGAGCCCGATTTTCTCCACGCCGACGTCGCCGCTGCGTCGCCGACGTCGGCGATGCATCGCCGATGTATCGCCGATGCATTGGCGATGCGGCGCGATCCTCCGACCCCATCTACTCGGACCCCATCTAGGAGGCCTCGAGATATTGGAGGGCTGCTCTCAGCCCGTCGCGACTTCCCGCTGTCGGACCGTGCCGTGGGTTCCCAGACCCCCGACGTCGTGATTTTTTCGTGGCGTGACCCCCAGGAGCTTGGACCCCTTCCCGGGAGCCGGTCTTTCCTCACGAGTCGTGTTGTTGACAGTCCCGAGGCCCGGTGAGGGCCTCTGGAGGCCCTCGGTTCAAAATTTCCTTGGGAATGGCGACGACGACGACGAGGGCGACGACGACGACGAGGACGAGGACGAGGACGAGGACGAGGACGAGGACGACGACAACGACGACGACGACGACGACGACGACGACGCCGACGCCGACGACGACGACAGCGTCTCACACACGCCGAGGGTCGGCGGATTTTTGTGGGCGCACTTCTCCTGTGGGCGCAGCGCAAGGGCGCGATGGGAGGGCCGCGGGGCCCTCGCGCGGAAGCGCGCGGGGGGGTCGGGGCGGGGGGCGGGCCTGGCTCACGCCCCGATCCGGTCCGGCCCCCGTCCTTCCACTCGGAATTCTTCCTCTCTCTTCGGCGGCGAGGAGGAGGAGGAGGCGGAGGAGGAGGAGGAGGAGGAGGAGCTTTGCCCCCCCGAGGCGGAGGAGGAGGAGGAGGAGGAGGAGCTTTGCCCCCCCGAGCCGGCCCCCCCCCCTCCCCGACGTCGTTCCCCTTTCGGCGCGAGAGCGCGAGGGCAGCCGCGCGCTGCGGCGCCGCGCGGCGCCCGCGGGCCTGCTCGCGGTTTCCGATGCGATCCGCCCATGCCGTGGCCGTATCACCAGCACCGCTTTGGTGCGACCCCTCAGTCGGGCATGTCCCCCTACATGGGGAATGTTCAAGCATATATACTGACAAAATAGTCAGGGAACGATTTGTTTTGTCTTTTCAAAGTTATGTTTGAGTACGTTCGGGTTTTTTAAGTGTTCGTCCAACTCCCGCCTGTAGGAGGACACGCCCCTCCTAATGCGACCCCACATCTCTCGGGTCGGAACTCAGCGCTCATGTCGGCTCCTCCGATTCGATTCGATCTGAGTTCGGTGTTGGATGGCTTCCGGTGCCGATTCGGTTCTACCTGGGCTTCCGCCTTGGATTCCGATTTCTCAGCGGAGGCCTGCCAGCCTGCCGATTTCCGCTGATTCGATTGCTCCTGACTCGGCTGCCGATTTCCGCCGATCCGATTGTTCGGCGATCGCCGATCCGACTTATCGATTCGATTCTGGATTCTCCTGGAACTCCGCGGGTGCTAGTGGTGTGTGTATATGTGTGTGTGTGTTGTCAGATGGGGCTCCCCGCTCGAACGGGAGCCCCCATCGGGATCCGACAACCCGCACCAGTACCTACAGCCCCTTCATCTCATGCCCTTCCATATTCCTCCTTCCTATAGGTTGGCGCAGGTCCCGCGTCCGCGATCCCGAGCGGTCCGCTTCCCACCCGACTCCGCGCCCTTCCTGAGATCCAGGCGTTCATTCTCTTGCGAAACAAGCGTTTTCGTCCGAGCTCCAGGCCGCTCGCGCGCGCGCCTTTTGCGCGGGTGCACAGGCGGAGAACCACAAGTACGAGGAGCACTGGGAGGCGGGTTTTGGCCGCCCCGCGAGTCGTCCGGCAGTCGAGCGTTGTGTCGTGTGGCGTCGTCGTCGTCGTCGTCGTCGTCGTCGTCGTCGTCGTCGTCATCGCTTGTCGTCCGTTGTGCGTTGTCCGTCGTCCGCCGTCGTCGTCGTTGATCGTGCCGCCGTCGTCGGTCGTGTGTCGTCGTTGCGTTCCCAGGTGAGGGAGGAGGTTCGAGAGGTCAGGGCAGCAGGAGGGTGAGGGGGGGCGGGAGGCGGATCAGAAGCAAGAGGAGCAGGAAGAGATGGGCAAGCAGCGCTTCAACACCTTTTGTGTCGAACCTCTAATTCTCGATCGTCTAGTTTTTTTGAAGGAGAGGTTGAGCGGGCCGGCGGAAGCAGGAAGGAGGGAGGAGGGAGGCAAGACGAGGGGAACGGAGGAGGGAACAACAAGTGATGATGATGCTGCTGATGCTGCTGATGATGCTGATGATGCTGATGATGATGCTGATGATGATGCTGATACTGTTGATGATGATGATGATGGTGACCATACTGATGATGACGATGGTGATGCTGTTGATGATGACGATGACTATGATGTCGGTTACGATTATTACGATGCTGCTGCTTTTGATGATGTCGACGATGTCGACGATGATGCTGTTGATGATGAGGATGATGATGATGCTGTTGATGGTAATGATCATGATGCTGGTGATGATGGTACGGACGATGATTATGATGATGCTGATGATGGTGATGATGATGATGGTGATGCTGATCATGCTGATGATTATGATGATGATGGTGACGACGACGACCAGAAGGATGACGAGTTAGCGGACGAATGGTGAGGCGCACTAGGAGGAGGGAGAGGGAGTGAGAGTATATCATGATTATACTGCAGGTGCTGATGATGCTTCTGCTGCTGCTGATGACCATGATGATGAACTGATGAGGGTGACGGTGATGAGGATGATGAGGATGATGGCGATGACGACGGCGACGACGATTTAATGACGATGTGATGACGGTGACGGTGATGTTCATGAATATTATGGTGTTAGGGATGGACGCACTGATGATGGGGATGCTGATAGTGATGAGGATGAGGATTGAGGACGGCAGGTGGAGGATGGAGGAATAGATACTGAGGGTGGAATGCAAAGAAGAACGGATGCAGAGAAAGGACGACGAGGAGGATGATGAGGATGAGGAGAAGGAGAAGGAGGAGGAGATGGAGCAAGAACCAGGAGGAATGTGAAATGTGGGGGATGATCAGAAAGGCGAAGTAGGACTAGGCGCTCCGATGTGGAATGATGATGGTGACACTGCTGGTACTGATAATGCTGCCAATGACGATGCGGACGCAGAGGCTAATGATCACAACGTTATCGACAACCCTGATGACAATCATGCCGATGCTCATGCATGCTGATGCTGATGGTGAAGGCGGTGATGATAATGCTTATGCACATGGTAATGGTGATTATGTTGATGCCGCTGATGCTGATGCTGCTGCTGATGATGCTGACGAGGATGATAATGATGCTTCTGATGCTGCTGATGATTCTGATGATGTTAATTATGATGCTGGTGACGATGCAGCTGATGCTGATGCTGATGCTGGTTCTGATGCTGTTGTCGATGTTGATGCTGATGATGATTCGGATGATGCTGATGATGATGTTGATGCTGATGCTGCTGATGATGATGACGATGATGATGATGATGGTGATGGTGATGGTGATGGTGATGGTGATGGCGGTGGTGACGACGATGATATTGCTGATGCTGATGATGCTGATGATGCTGATGATGCTGATTATGATGGTGATGCTGATGACGCTGATGATGATGATGATTATGATGGTGATGATGATGATGATGATGATGATGATGATGATGATGATGATGATGATGATCATGATGATGATGATGATGATGATGATGATGATGATGATGATGATGATGATGATGATGATGATGCTGATGATGCTGATTCAGATGACGACGACGATCACGATGACGAGGGTGAGTTTTCCATTCTATTCCAATGTACCAGGATGGCGCCCGAGAGCCGCAGGATGCCCCGTGCCACCGCCCGCGCGGGTTGCCGTCGCCCTGCCGCTCTCTCTCACTCGAGCGGCCGCGGGCGTGCTGCTGCTCCGCGCACGTCGGGGCTCCAGAGACGGGGGGTCAAGGCAGCCGGGGGCCAGCCACGGCGCCAGCTCTTGCAGGATCCTGCAGGGCCAGGGGCACACATTCAGAGGCCAGCAACATATGTACACGTACGCGGTTAGGTTCCCCTGGAGTGCGTGTCAACGCGGACGTTCGTGCAGGCAAGACCGTGGAGGGCGTACATGTACATATGTCGTTGCTCGCCCACACATTGACCCGGGCTGGGGCGCGGGGTCCTGCAAATGCCGACGGACCCGGCTCTGCGTGGACCCGGGTCAGTGCTCCGAGTGTCTTAGTAAGCGTGGGGGGGGGGGTACTCCCCCGACGGGGGTCGACCTCGCCTCGTCGTCGCGCCGCGACGGGGGTCGGAGCGCCTTCGGCGCGCGGCGGCTGCCCGCGTCGGGTGTCGATGTGGGGTTGTCTGCGGGGGTGACGCCCCCCCCGCCGCCAGTAGACCCTCTCCCCTCGAAAAATCAGAGAAGGGATTGTTTCGTCGATCGGCGCGGGCCATGGCCCCCCCTCCCCCCTCCCTGGAGTAGATCTTGGCTGTTTTTGGAGCCTGTTTCGAGCAGGTGGAGCCTACCCCATAATGGACGCACTGCTGCAAACGGTCGCACTAAGCAGAGGTCTTGAGCCAGACCCCCTCCTCCCCCCCCTCTCCTCCCAATGTCGAAACGCCGAATAAAAAAACGCTCACAACCACCCCCCCAAAGAAATCGAAGAAAAAACGCCATAAGCATGAACTCTTGGCGCTCCGCGAGGGTATCTGGGATCTGCGCTGTGCCCTCTCCCTGGCTCGGCGCCAGATGCTCGCCGTTGCCGAGACTCGCCGTGGCCAGAGAAAGGCTCCTTCGTTCTTTAATTATCCAGCGGTCCTCATGGTGGCACGATTCGGAACAAACATACAATTTTTCAGCGTTCCTCATTACCCAGCGTTCCTAAGACAAAAACGCAATGAACATTAATTTTTGGCGCTCCGCGCGGATTTCTTGGATCCGCGCTGGGCCCCCCCGGCGTCGCCTCCATCGCCGCCCCTGTCCGCGCGGAGCGCCATACGTTTGGGTTTATGGCGTTTTTTGGTTTTCTCTAAAGAACACAGAAGACAGGTTTTTTCTTCAGCGTCCGCCTATACACAGGGGAGTTTGGCCCGCCCCCCCCTCCCCCCTCTCCCCCCCCGATGGCCTGATCTTGTCGGCTGCGCGGGCCCGGAGGAGGCGCGCAGTACTGGTGCTGCCCAAAGCGGAAAGGTTAGGTCATCGGTCGTCGCCCCCCTCTCCAGCGGATAACCGGGATGATTGTCGAAACATGCCAAACGGTTTCCCAGAAGTTTTTTTCAACATGGGCTCGAAATCATGACCTCTTTTTTCCTAACCATCCTTTGGTGTTGGGTCCTCGTTTTGAAGAGACAGCGCCCCGTGTTCTCCTCTTCTCTCCTTCTCCTCCTCCCCCATCATCCCATGCCTGCCTCTGCCCTCCGCACCTGGTACAGCGCTTCTGGATGGATATTCCCAACCATCCAGTGGGATTGGTCATCGTTTTGAAGAGAGAGCGCTCCCGCGTCTCCTCTCCTTCCCCCTCCTCCTCCTCCTCCTCCTCCTCCTCCTCCTCCTCCTCCTCCTCCCGCCTCCCATCCTTGCCTCTGCGTGCCGCATGTCCATTGTTTCGGCACACCCTCTCACACGCTTCGAGGCCCCATAGGGAGCTCTACCGAAGGCCCCACCCAGTGGCAGGGTTCGCATGGCACCGCCGCCTCCATTTCGGCACACCCTCACAAGTTTCGTTGCCCAATAGGGAGCTCTGCCGAAGGCCCCAGTGGAAAAGTTCGCATGGCACCGCCGCCCCATTTCGGCGCACCCCTCGCACGCTTCGTGGTCCCATATGAAGCTCCACCTAAGGCCCCAGTGGAAAAGTGTGCATCGCACCGCCGCCCCATTTCCGCACCCCTTCACACGTTTCGTGGCCCCATAGGGAGCTCCGCCGAAGGCCCCAGTGGGAAAGTTCGCATGGCACCTCCGTCCCATTTCGGCACACCCTTCACACGCTTCGTGGCCCTATAGGGGAACTCCAACGAAGGCCCTAGTGGGAAAGTTCGCATGGCACCGCCGCCCCATTTCGGCACACCCCTCACACGCTTCGCGGCCCTATAGGGAGCTCCACGGAAGGCCCCCGTGGGAAAGTTCGCATGGCACCGCCGCCCCATTCTGGCACACTCCTCACACGTTCCGCGGCCCCACAGGGAGCTCCACCGACGGCCCCAGTAGGAAAGTTCGCATGGCTCCGCCGCCCCATTCCGGCGCACCCCTCACACGTTTCGGGGCCCCACCAGGAGCTCACCTAAGGCCCAGTAGGAAAGTTCGCATGGCACCGCCGCCCCATCTCGGCACACCCCTCACACGCTTCGCGGCCCCATAGGGAGCTCCACGGAAGGCTCCAATGGCGACGTTCGCATGCGTCCGCCCGACTCATGTCGGCACACCTATCACACGTTTCGTGGCAGAAGGTTCTACCGCGTGCACTGTTCTGAGATTGCGCGCCAACCTCATTCTTCTCATCTCCCTCGCGGTACTTGCAGCTGCATAGGGTTGGGTCCTTACTCAGGCTTAGTTTTTGCGGGGGGGGTCGGGGCCAGTTCGGCCCCTACTGGGCCCCCGTCGATGCATGGGCGATGCGGCTCCAAGCGGCGTGCGGAATTCTCCGTGTCGACGGCGCCGGGGCGTCGCCCACGTCGGCGATGCGGCGCGATCCTCCAACCCCATCAAATGACGACCCGAGAAAATCGGCATAAGCATAAACATTCTGAGCTCCGCGCGGATTTCTTGGATTGGCGTTTGGCCCCGCTGGCGGCGCCTCCGGCGCCGTCCCTGGCTCCACGCGTCAGGGAGGGGGGTCCAGCGCCAATCCAAGAGATGCACGTGGAGCTCCGACAGTTTATGCTTATGCATCTGTTTGTTCCTCTGCACTCGACCCCATCCAGGAGGCCTCCACAGTCAAGGCGCTGAAGGAGGGACCACCTTGGTCTCAGGATCGGGAGGTGCTCTGGTTTTCGGGCAGTGCCTCAGTCAGGAGGGGAAAAAACACACAGACACAATTAATCGTCGACTCCCAGGAGCATATGGGAAGTTGGGGGGAAGACAAAAACCCAGAAAATATGGGAAGATATATTGGGAATCCTGTTATTTGTGTGTATTCATTTGTGTGTCCCAGGGCCCCTTCACTCAGGTCCAGGTCGGGGACCTGCTCGTGGCCTAGGCTCGCCGTTGCCAGAGAGGCCCCTTCGTTCCCCAAGTGTCCAGCGCTCCTCTTTGTGAGCGCGACCGCTGCACAGCATGAGGTTCGGACTCGACGGTTCAGGGCCCGTGCCCATCCGATCCGACCTCGATTCCGGCAGGCCCGACCCGAATGGACTCCGATCTGCGACGAGCCGCTGCGTCCCGACGCCCGCGTGGGCGCCGGTGTGCAGCCTGGCGCGGCCGGCCCGCTTCGAGTCGCCGACGCCGCGCCCTGGCGCGGCGCGAGCCGGCGCCCATGCCGCTCCGATGGAGGAGGTGGAGGAGGCGGAGGAGGAGGAGTAGGGGGAGCGAGGAGGAGGAGGAGGAGGAGGAGGAGGAGGAGGAGGAGGAGGAGGAGGAGGAGGAGGAGGAGGAGGAGGAGGAGGAGGAGGAGGAGCGGGGGGGAGCGAGGAGCGAGGAGCGAGCAGAGAGGAGGAAGAAGGGAGGAGGAGGAGGAGGATGAGGAGGAGGAGGAGGATGAGGAGGAGGAGGAGGAGGAGGAGGAGGAGGAGGAGGAGGAGGAGGAGGAGGCCCACTCCCGATGGCCGATCCTGCGCTCTCGACCCCTGGCGTCGCCGTCGGGTGCTCCGCGCTGGCCCGGTGCTGCTGCAGTCGCAGGCCTGGAGGTTGGCACGAGCACCAATTTTTCGGCGGTGTGCCTCCACCGAGGGGAGAGGAGCCCGACCTCGGTGGTTCCTCCTCCTCCTCCTCCTCCTCCTCCTCCTCCTCATCCTCCTCCCCGCGCCGATCCCGGTGGGCTTCTAGGCCGTGCCTCTGGTTCCCCCAAGGGCCGCTCTGGGCGACCCGGCACCCCCGCAGCGTCCTCTCCTTTCGGTGGTGGACAGAACCCCCAACAGTGACACGTCGATTAGTGAACTGTCCGTTTTCGGTTCTCGAGAGGGCGCCGTGGCCGCTATTTCCCAGGCCTGCGCCCGCCAGGTTTGGGCCTCAGGTCGTTTTCACTAAACCACGTTTTACTAAAGGGAGGTCTGTTTATCCCCGAGCTCTGGCCTCCAAGGTGGCCGAACTATTACCACCAGCACCGCAATCCAGGATCCTCTTCCCCCTGTGGAGGCAATCCCCTGCGTTGGTGCTGGTGCCCATTCCCAGGCCTCCGATGCTGCTCCGCCGCGGCAGGCGTCCGTGATGGTGAAGAAGTGGATGCTGACCGTCATCGTGCAGTGCTGGGCAGTCGGTCGCCCGCCCACCGCGCGGGGGGCAGCGCCAGGGGTGAGACGCGTCGGGGGGGGGGGACCGGGCTCGAGGCTCGAGGCTCGAGGCTCGAGGCTCGAGGCTCGAGGCTCGAGGCTCGAGGCTCGAGGCTCGAGGCCCGCTTGCTGCAGGCGGTTGACCGTCCTGGGGCGCCCCCGTGGCCACGGCTGGATCCGCCTCGAGGTGCTGGGCAGAGGGCGCCCCAGGAGGAAAGGGGGGGGTAGGCTGAAGTCGGGCCTGTCCCTCCATAGGGGGATTATTCAAAAATAGTCAAACAAATAGGCTGGGGACGATTTGATGGGCACTTGTTGTCAATGTCTGGAATATTTGTGGAGTGCTTTTTGATGGGCATGTGTTGTCAATGTCTGGAATATTTCTGGAGTGTTTTTTTCCGCCCAGAACTCGCCTGTAGGGCGACATGCCCTACCTCAGGGTAGGCTCCAGGGGGTCGATCGATCGAGGCTGACGGGCGTTCTCGTCGGCCCTCGGCGGTTCTCTCCAGCCTCGGGGTGCCCTCTCCAGCAGCTGCGCCTCGCCGCGAGCGTGCCCGATTCGGTGCCGGGTCGTCCCGACGACGGCCGCCGGAGGCCTGAGATGCCGCCGGGAAGCCATTGGGAACGGGATGGGCTCCGGGGGGGATGCAGCGACCGCCAGTGTTTTGTCGGGCCTCTTCCTCTCAAAGAGGGATATTCAAGAATAGTAAACAAATAGGCATGGGACGACTTTTGCATCACTTGTTGATTATTTTTGATGATTTTGCCTATAGGGGGATACGCCTGTAGGGGGATACGCCCGACCTAACGCTAGTCGCCCCATCATCGCCGAGAGGGGCCCGATGGCCCCAACCTCTCCAGGACCGTGCGGTCTTGCTATCGGGAGCCAGCGCCGATCTGTCGGCGATGCATCACAGAGTCCAGGTTGATGTTTCCCCCTCAATGAGCTGGTTCCCCTCCCAGCGTTGCCTCTCACCACTGGCCATACAGAGGCATTTCTTTCCACAGCGAGACGCCGTGGATTGCGGGGTCTGAGGCGCCAGGAGGCCGATGAGTGCGGGGAGCAGGAGGAAGGAGCAGGATGAAGAAGGAGGGGATGGGCTGGCGGAGGGAGGAGAAAGCAGAACGGAGCAGCGCAGGCGCAGCAACGTACGGGGCTCCGACGCGAGCGTGAAACCAACGCCTCCACACTTCGCTTCGCACGGAACGAGACGGGTTCTGATCAGAAAGGAAGGAGCCGAAAGCAATGAGTTTTCGATGGTGTGGCCTCTGGAGGAGGAGGAGGAGAATGAGGAGGAGGAGGAGGAGGAGGAGGAGGAGGAGGAGGAGGAGGAGGAGGAGGAGGAGGAGGAGGAGGAGGAGGAGGAGGTGCGCTTGTACCAAGTCGGCAGTCACTGGCACGCACGTCACACACAATGCGTGACACAATCAGTCACAATGCGCACTAACACATCCGCACGCCACCCGTCGGGGAGGAGCCTCCTGCGCTGCCTCGCCACCGCCTCGGGTCAGAGACGGGCTCGTGCGGCGCTCGTGCGCCAAGAAAGGGCGCGCGCGCTCTCGCTGGGCAGGGGGGCTCTGCGAGCCGCATCCCATGCCGTGCGTCTGGGCGATGGCCTCGGAGACGTCGAGCCGGTTCGAGAGCTCGACTCCCGTCGTCTGCGAAGGCCCCGTGCGGTTCGAGCCTGTCTGGCACTTCCCGCAGAAGCGCGCCACGACGCGTCCCGAGGCCGCGGCCTCGCACGGCCCTCCCGAGGGCCCCCCACAGGCCACGAGGCTGTTCGTGGCTCCTCCGGTTCGCGGCCCCACAGGGGGAGCTCCACCGAGGGCCCCCGTGGCACGGCTCGCACGGCGGCGCCGCCCCCCGTTGTGGCGCACCCCTCACGCGGTGCGTGGCCGTCGTAGGGAGCTCCGCCGAAGGGCCCAGGGGCAAAGCTCGCCTGGCGGCGCCGCGGCGCACGCCTCACGCGGCGCGTGGCCCCATGGGGCGCTCCACCGAAGGCCCCAGTGGCAAAGTTCGCACGGCGCCGCCGCCGCCCCGTTGTGGCGCAGCCCTCACGCGGTGCGTGGCCTCGTCGGGAGCTCCACCAGAAGCCCCCGTGGCAAAGTTCGCATGGCGCCGCCGCCTCGTTTTGGCGCACCCCTGACGCGGTTCGTGGCCCCACAGGGAGCCCCACCGAAGGTCCAATCGGCAAAGTTCGCATGGCGCCGCCGCACCATTTTGGAGTATCCCGTGGCCCCATGGGGAGCTCCACCGAAGGCCTCAGTAGCACAGTTCGCATGGCGCCGCCACCCCATTTTGGCGCACCCCTCCCCATTTTGGCGCACCCCTCACACGGTTCGTTGCCCC